GTAGACACACTAATAATATATATTAAAAAAAAAGAGTTACTCAAACATGTGTGAATGAAACAAACACAACTCCAGGTCTGTTTGTGAGGAGGAACATTAGAACATTAGAACATGACTTAAATCTCCCAGAGTCAGTTTCGTCATCCAGGACATTTAAACGGTGCACTTCCTGTACTCACTCCTTTTAAATCCTGTACATGAGAATCACTTCCTGTACTCACTCCTTTTAAATCCTGTACATGAGAATCACTTCCTGTACTCACTCCTTTTAAATCCTGTACATTAGAATCACTTCCTGTACTCACTCCTTTTAAATCCTGTACATGAGAATCACTTCCTGTACTCACTCCTTTTAAATCCTGTACATGAGAATCACTTCCTGTACTCACTCCTTTTAAATCCTGTACATGAGAATCACTTCCTGTACTCACTCCTTTTAAATCCTGTACATGAGAATCACTTCCTGTACTCACTCCTTCTTGCGAGCCGTGCGTCTCTTCTCGTCGCTGACCTGGTGGCTGGGGTCGGACAGGTTCACCTCCGGGTCGGAGTCTGACAGGCTGTTTGGGATCAGCTCCAGCTCCAGGTCTTTATTATCCTGAAACGTGAGAAGAAACAGGAGCGACAGGAGCAGCAGGTCAGGCTCAGTCAGGATTCTGTCCAAACTTCACTTTTTAAACACGTCCAGAACAAAAAGACTGAAATCTGAACTGACAACAAAACAAGAATCACACCACAGGAGAATTTGCCATCGTCCTCACAGATTTACATCCTGAGGTCAAACACAGGTCCACTTCAGTCGGCACAGATTTAAAGTCTCATCAGATTCTCCTCGTGTTTGTGTCTTTGAGATTTTTGTGGCACGTTTAATAATCGTTTTAAGACTGAAACATCCTGTAGATTGTGTCGAGTGAAGAAGCCCAGACCCTCTGCTCCTGGTCTTCACCTCCTGAGCCGTTCTCCTCGTCTCCTAACCCCTTCAGGAGTTTATTAGTTTATTCCTCGTGTGTCCAGTAGGTGGCGTCTTCTGCTCTGGTTGAACTCAGCTCAGGTTCACAGGCTCAAACTGAACCAAAGAGTGAATCTACCTGTGAAACTAATGGGAATATTCAATCGTTCAACAGTAAATGAATAAATACGTTTTTAAAAATATATAGTAATTTTTATTTATTTATTTTTTATTCAAATTTGTATTAACAGTTAAATAGAGGTTGCAGTTTCAAATCACATATGGACAATTTTCTCTTTTTCACTTCACATCTCTTTTTGAGAGTATTGAATTTTTTTTTTTCCCTTATTCCATTAAAGATACAAAAAAATTTAAATAAAATTAAAAAAGAAAAATAAAAAACAAGGAAAAAAAGATATATAGTAATTTAAGTTCTTAAAATGCTAAAAACTACATTGAATAATTTAATCTTATTGGCATTTGATTGTTTAAATATATTCCAGTTTATTTTAAATGGTGTAAAATGTATTTTGATCTAACAAACTTAAAGGAGCTCATTTAAAAAAGTATATATTATTTAGCAATTAAAAGCTATTTATTAATTCACTGAAATTCAATATAAAATAATAAAATATTACATTTGTTTCATATCTAGTCATTTAAAATTGTATAAAAAATAAGTTTGAATTAAGTTTAAAATTGTAGCCTATTTAAGTTTATCTGTATAATGTATATTAATAAATATTATAGTTAAAGTATATTCATTAAAATGCAAATAGATCATAATACAAATAGATTAAATTACTAACAAAAATGTCAAATGTACATTTAATCTCATTATTCCACATATTTGTATATTTAAAAGGTTTTTGTCCTACTGCTGCTGAAGAAGATGAAAATAAACGTCTTGTGTCTGTTTTTCCAGTTGGAGCCGTCGTCCTCTGGTGTCGCCTTTAGAGGAGATTTAGTCTCCGTTCAGTCTGCAGGTTTAACGCTCAATTTAGATTTTTTTTGTGAAATCTGATGTTTTTTCAGCTCGTTCACATTTCCAGTTAAATGTGACTTGTATGTGACTCCAGTGTGAACATTAAACGTGTCATAAAAGTGTCCCACATGTGACACTGGAGACACGACGACGTCAACCGCAGCGAGCGTCTCTGTGTTTACACCTGGAGATTTTAAAGTTCCTCTCGTACCGGAGCCACAACATGAACAACTGACTTGTTTTAAGGAGGAGATTGAGAAGGAGAAGGAGCAGGTTTTTGGTGGTGGTGTTTTGTGGTGAGTGGAGATGTGCTTCACTTCAGTCACATGGATCATGAACAGTTTTCTCTACTTCAGTGCAGAATAGTGACGTTTGTGTCTTGTTGATGACGTGTAGGTGGATGAATGTGACCTGACTGTTCACACTCAAGTCACATGTTAAAGATCAGATATGGATCAGTTTCAGGAGCACAGATCCAAGTGTCCTGGTCACATGTGAAAACATCACATCTGTGTGGTTCAGACATGAAAAGATCAGATACAGGAACATAGAGACAAAACATCAGATTTGGGTCAGTTCAGCTGCAGTGTGAACGCAGCCTCAGTTTGCGGAGGAAATCGTGCTCTTTACTCGTCTCAGTCTTCGTGATCTTTGTGAACTTTTCCCTTCAAACTGTGATTTTGATTTGTGAAGATTCCTGCAGATGTGTGAAGCTGGTGTCTGGACTCACCTGCGCACAGCCGCCGAGCGCCGTCTCCAGCAGGTGGCGGTACTGCCCCATGCGCACGGTGAAGTCTCGGTATCGTTTGTCGACGGAGGAGACGCAGCGGCGCAGCTCGGTGCGGTGGGCGTGGCCTTTAGCCAGCATGCTCTCGGCCAACTGGATGAGCAGGTGAACCTTCTCCTGAGTGTGCTGCAGAGACCAGGGTCAGACCAGGGTCAGACCAGGGTCAGACCAGGGTCAGACCAGGGTCAGACCAGGGTTAAAGGTCACGAGATGATTCTGTGTGGATTTAACTCCCTCTGAAACACGCCTCAGGTCATTTCACATTTTATAACTCGAAATAATAAAGTCAAAAACATGAGGTCCCTACAGTCAGTGTTGGAGTAACAGATTACATGTACCAGAGTAATCAGAGTACAAATGATGAGTATCTGTATTCAGTTACAGTTACTGTTTCAGTGAGTGGGAATTGGATTACAGTTACTTTGTTTAAATAAATGGATTAAACAGAGGAATTTTACTGTTTTTATATTTTGGGCTAAATCCATTTTTTGTTTTTGGTAATTCCACTCAAACTAAACCAGGTCTAAACCAGGACTAAAACCAGGTCTAAACCAGGTCTAAAACCAGATCTAAACCAGGTCTAAAACCAGGTCTAAACCAGGACTAAAACCAGGTCTAAACCAGGTCTAAAACCAGATCTAAACCAAGTCTAAAACCAGGTCTAAACCAGGACTAAACCAGGTCTAAACCAGGTCTAAAACCAGATCTAAACCAGGTCTCAAACAGGATTGAACAGGACTAAATCCTGCTGTGTGGACGTGTTTCTTCGTCTTTTATCAATAATATTTTTAATTTGGTTCAGTAAAGTTTGGACTTTTTATTTTCTTTTATCAGACAAAACTTCTTATGTGAAGATTTCCTCGTCTTTGTTTCTCTACAACAAACCAAAGTAATCCAAAGTAATCAGATTACATTACTCACTTTAAGTAACTTTATGGATTCTGTTCCAAACTACATTTTGGGGTAAGTAATCTGTAATCTGTAATCTGTAGGGGATTACATTTGAAAAGTAAACCTCCAACACTGTGTTCAGTTTTATCTGTGACTGGAGAAATGGATCATGAACCTTTGCAGAGATGCAGAAGTCGCGGTGCTGGTCCAGGAGCTCCTGGGTCTCAGACAGGTTGGCTCCAGGTGAGGTGTGTGTGGCCAGGTAATGGTCACCTGACTGGGCCAGCCAATCCAGCGCCTGCACAGACAGGTGAAGGTCAGACAGGTGAAGGTCGACAGGTGAAGGTGTGTGAAGGTGTGTCAGGGTGTGTGAAGGGTGTGTGAGTGGTGTGTGAAGGTGTGTGAAGGTGTGTGAGGGTGTGTGAGAGTGTGTGAAGGTGTGCGAAGGTGTGTGAGGGTGTGTGAGGTGTGTGAAGGGTGTGTGAAGGTGTGTGAAGGTGTGTGAAGGTGTGTGAAGGTGGTGTGTGAGGGTGTGTGAAGTGTGTGTGTGAAGTGTGTGTGAAGGTGTGTGTGAGGGTGTGTGAGGGTGTGTGTGAAGGTGTGTGAAGGTGTGTGTGAAGTGGTGTGTGAAAGGTGTGAAGGTGTGTGAAGGTGTGTGAAGGTGTGTGAAGGTGTGTGTGAGGGTGTGTGAGGTGTGTGAAGGTGTGTGAAGGTGTGTGAAGGTGTGTGAAGGTGTGTGAAGGTGTGTGAAGGTGTGTGAAGGTGTGTGAGGGTGTGTGAAGGTGTGTGAAGGTGTGTGAAGGTGTGTGAAGGGTGTGTGAGGGTGTGTGAGAGGTGTGTGAAGGTGTGTGAGGGTGTGTGAAGGGTGTGTGAAGGTGTGTGAAGGTGTGTGAAGGTGTGTGAAGGTGTGTGAAGGTGTGTGAGGGTGTGTGAAGGTGTGTGAAGGTGTGTGAAGGTGTGTGAAGGTGTGTGAAGGTGTGTGAAGTGTGAGGGTGTGTGAGGGTGTGTGAGGGTGTGTGAAGGTGTGTGAAGGTGTGTGAAGGGTGTGTGAGGGTGTGTGAGGGTGTGTGAAGGTGTGTGAAGGTGTGTGAAGGTGTGTGAAGGTGTGTGAAGGTGTGTGAAGGTGTGTGAAGTGTGTGTGTGTGTGTGAAGGTGTGTGAGGTGTGTGAGGTGTGTGAGAAGGTGTGTGAGGGTGTGTGAAGGTGTGTGAAGGTGTGTGAGTGTGTGTGTGAAGGTGTGTGAAGGTGTGTGAAGGGTGTGTGAAGGTGTGTGAAGGTGTGTGAAGGTGTGTGCAGGTGTGTGTGAAGGTGTGTGAAGGTGTGTGAGGGTGTGTGAAAGGTGTGTGAGGTGTGAAGGTGTGTGAAGGTGTGTGAAGGTGTGTGAAGGTGTGTGAAGGTGTGTGAAGGTGTGTGAAGGTGTGTGAAGGTGTGTGAAGGTGTGTGAAGGTGTGTGACCTGCTGCGCGTGGGACTGGAACATGAGGAACTGTTGGCACTGGTCCAGACGTCGCTTCTTTAACGTCCAGAAGTGAAGAACTCGATTCTCCCGCTGAAGCAGCTCACTGAGAATCCCTGAGAACAAGACCAGGACTGAACCAGGACTGAACCAGGACCTGAACCAGGACTGAACCAGGACTGAACCAGGACTGAACCAGGACTAAACCACCAGACTAAACCAGGACTAAACCAGGACTAAACCAGGGACTGAACCCAGGACTGAACCAGGACTGAACCAGGACTGAACCAGGACTGAACCAGGACTGAACCAGGACTGAACCAGGACTAAACCAGGACTGAACCAGGACTGAACCAGGACTACAGAAAGTCTAACCCAAGACTAAACCAAGTCCAAATGAAGGACCTAAAGCCAGAGTCGACTGCAGCGTTTAGTCTGAGTCGAGGGAGAGCCCCGTCACACAGGGAGAGCCCCGTCACACAGGGAGAGCCCCGTCACACAGAGAGAGCCCCGTCACACAGGGAGAGCCCCGTCACACAGAGTGAGCCCTGTCACACAGAGAGAGCCCCGTCACACAGAGAGAGCCCTGTCACACAGAGAGAGTGAGCCCTGTCACACAGAGAGAGCCCTGTCACACAGAGTGACCCCTGTCACACAGTGTGTGCAGCACCAGTGTCGTGTCGTTTAAACTCGTCACATTTCTAATCTCGTCAGACTAAACTTCTGCACTCGACTCCAGGCTGAAAGTCGTCCTGACCTTTGACCTGCTGCTCGGGGACCCTGGAGTGACCCCCGGTGACCTCCGTTGCCCCGGGGACGCTGATGTTGTGTCCGGAGATGGTCGCCATGGTGACGCTGTTCCTGTGGATGTACTTCAGGAACACCTCCGCGTTTCTCCTCGCCAAAGTACACGCCTGGAGTACATGTACACATCAGAACGCAGTACAGACAGAGTGTCCAGAGTACACAGAGTACACAGAGTACACAGAGTACACAGAGCACACAGAGTACACAGAGCACACAGAGTACACAGAGTACACAGAGTACACAGAGCACACAGAGTACACAGAGTACACAGAGTACACACAGAGTACACAGAGTACACAGAGTACACAGAGTACACAGAGTACACAGAGTACACAGAGTACACAGAGTACACAGACAGTGAGTACCTTGAGGAAGGCCTCCTTCTGCTCCATGTGTTTGTTGATCAGGGGCAGGAGCTGCTCTGGTTGTCTCTCTCCTGATCCACACCAGTCCTCCTCCCGTCTGTACTCCTGCTCCAGGCTTTCCAACACGCCGCACACCTGGACCACACAAACCAGGTCTAAACCAGGTCTAAACCAGGTCTAAACCAGGTCTAAACCAGGACTAAACCAGGTCTAAACCAGGTCTAAACCAGGTCTAAACCAGGTAAACCAGGACTAAACCAGGTCTAAACCAGGACTAAACCAGGACTAAACCAGGTCTAAACCAGGTCTAAACCAGGACTAAACCAGGTCTAAACCAGGTCTAAACCAGGTCTAAACCAGGTCTAAACCAGGTCTAAACCAGGTCTAAACCAGGACTAAACCAGGTCTAAACCAGGTCTAAACCAGGTCTAAACCAGGACTAAACCAGGTCTAAACCAGGTCTAAACCAGGTCTAAACCAGGTCTAAACCAGGTCTAAACCAGGACTAAACCCTAAACCAGGACTAAACCAGGACTAAACCAGGTCTAAACCAGGTCTAAACCAGGACTAAACCAGGTCTAAACCAGGACTAAACCAGGTCTAAACCAGGTCTAAACCAGGTCTAAACCAGGTGTATTTTGTGCGGTGGTTATTTGTCGTTCACCTGTTGTGACGTCCGGTAAAACGCGGCTGAGGCGTTCACCAGTTTGAGTCGGTCTTCGATTCGCAGCATCAGCGTTTGCCAGTGCAGCGCCACCGTCTGGGCACAGGCTCTCACTGCATCTGGGTCATAATGTCCAGACCTGAGGAACCACAGAGAAGAAGAAGAAGAGAAGAAGAAGAAGAAGAAGAGAGAGGAGCAAAGGAGCAGAAAAAACTAAATCTCCATGTAGTTTAGATACAAACATGTTCTGAAATGTGATTCTTTTCGTTTGTCAGTTCAGATTTGAGTCGTTGAAAAACACATTTGTTTGTTCTGTAAAAGATGGAGAACGTACCGCACGAGCAGCTCCGCCCTCTGCTGCAGCGCCAGCGCCACCTGGTGGGTCCTCTGCAGAGAGTCAGCGTGAAGGAGGCCCTGAGGCAAAACACACACACACACACACACACACACACTTTAACTACAGGAACAAGTCCAGCAGAGTCTTTAAAGATACAGAGTATTAACCGTAACACTTCACAGACTTAGATCTCCATGTACCTTTTATTGATTTAAAAATGCTGCATTTGTGGAGAGAGATCATCAGATGAGCAGATGATTCCTCCTGGTGAAAGTGTAAATGTGCTGGTGCAGTTACCTCGATGGACTGCTGGAGGCGCTCATGTTCTCTCTGTAACTGTTCAGCTTCAGACAAACAACTGGAGTTTAACAAACACGACGCCAACATCACCTCCCCCTCGTTTATCCAGCCCAGGACCTGAAACAGACCAGAACCAGGACTGAAACAGACCAGAACCAGGACTGAAACAGACCAGAACCAGGACTGAAACAGACCAGAACCAGGACTGAAACAGACCAGAACCAGGACTGAAACAGACCAGAACCAGGACTGAAACAGACCAGAACCAGGACTGAAACAGACCAGAACCAGGACTGAAACAGACCAGAACCAGGTCTTACCCCATTCTAACCCAGATCTTGGTCTGACCCGGTGTGGGTCTGGGTCTTGGTCTGACCCGGTGTGGGTCTGGGTCTTGGTCTGACCCGGTGTGGGTCTCACCTGTTTGACTTGGCTCTGCAGGTGTCGGAGCTGCAGGTGTTGTTCGAGCAGAGTGTGTGTGTGGTCGGCCATCTGCTGCAGCTCCTTCTGTTTGTCCTGTAGGAGGCGCTGCAGCTCCTCCACCTGAGGAGCCAGAACCCCGCCCTCTGGCTCCGACAGGTCCACACCTGCAGACCAGGGCACAGGTGAGGACAGGTGAGTACAGGTGAGGACAGGTGAAGACAGGTGAGCACAGGTGAGCACAGGTGAAGACACAGGTGAAGACAGGTGAGCACAGGTGAAGACAGGTGAGTACAGGTGAGGACAGGTGAGTACAGGTGAAGACAGGTGAATACAGGTGAGCACAGGTGAAGCACAGGTGAAGTACAGGTGAGCACAGGTGAAGACAGGTGAGCACAGGTGAAGACAGGTGAGTACAGGTGAAGACAGGTGAGTACAGGTGAGTACAGGTGAAGACAGGTGAGTACAGGTGAAGACAGGTGAGTACAGGTGAAGACAGGTGAGTACAGGTGAGACAGGTGAGTACAGGTGAGCACAGGTGAGCACAGGTGAGCACAGGTGAGCACAGGTGAGCACAGGTGAGTACAGGTGAGCACAGGTGAGTACAGGTGAGTACAGGTGAACACAGATGAGCACAGGTGAGTACAGGTGAGTACAGGTACAGGTGACAGTGACACAGGTGAGCACAGGTGAGTACAGGTGAGCACAGGTGAAGACAGGTGAGTACAGGTGATTACAGAGTGAGGACAGGTGAGTACAGGTGAGCACAGGTGAGTACAGGTGAGTACAGGTGAGTACACAGACAGGTGAGTACAGGTGAGTACAGGTGAAGACAGGTGAGTACAGGTGAGCACAGGTACAGGTGAGTACAGGTGAGTACACAGGTGAGCACAGGTGAGTACAGGTGAGTACAGGTGAGTACAGGTGAGTACAGGTGAGTACAGGTGAGTACAGGTGAGTACAGGTGAACACAGGTGAGTACAGGTGAGTACAGGTGAGACAGGTGAGTACAGGTGAGTACAGGTGAGCACAGGTGAGAGGTGAGTACAGGTGAGTACAGGTGAGTACACAGGTGAGTACAGGTGTACAGGTGAGTACAGGTGAGTACAGAGGTGAGTACAGGTGAGTACAGGTGAGTACAGGTGAGTACAGGTGAGTACAGGTGAGTACAGGTGAGTACAGGTGAGTACAGGTGAGTACAGGTGAAGACAGGTGAGTACAGGTGAGTACAGGTGAGTACAGGTGAGTACAGGTGAAGACAGGTGACTACAGGTGAGTACAGGTGAGTACAGGTGAGTACAGGTGAACCATGAAGAACTGACTGAAGCCTTAAAAATATTTGTGCTGAAAATGTAAAAGGCGACAGTTGTGTTTTTTATGTTTAAACTGACTGAATGTACATTTCAAAATCAGCTTTTGAAATTCAGAATGAAATCATCTCAAACATGTAAAAAAGTGAGAAATTCAATATTCACAACATCTTCCACAGAGTCGGTAAAGGTCAGAGTGATTCTAGAACAAATGCAGATGATTCACACGACTCGAGCCGCGCGACACGACTCATAACACCAGATTAAACATCAGTGTGGAGTCAAAACCGAACAAAAACACTCAGGTCGTCGAAAACACTCAGGTCGTCGAAACCGAACAAAAACACTCAGGTCGTCGAAACCGAACAAAAACACTCAGGTCGTCAAAACCGAACAAAAAACCAAACAAAAACACTCAGGTCGTCTCCTGCTCCTGGTTCATCATTAAAATAAAACTCAGTCTGTTTAAACCAAATGTGGAGGAATGATTCAGGGTTTATACAAGTGACTGTTTCCACCAGAGTGTGTGTGTGTGTGTGTGTGTGTGTGTGTGTGTGTGTGTGTGTCGTGTGTGTGTGTGTCGTGTGTGTGTGTGTGTGTGTGTGTGTGTGTGTGTGTGTGTGTGTGTGTGTGTGTGTGTGTTTGTGTGTGTGTGTGTTTGTGTGTGTCGTGTGTGTTTGTGTGTGTGTTTGTGTGTGTGTGTGTGTGTGTGTGTGTGTGTTTGTGTGTTTGTGTGTTGTGTGTGTGTGTGTGTGTGTGTGTGTGTGTTGTGTGTGTGTGTGTGTGTGTGTGTGTGTGTGTGTGTTTGTGTGTTTGTATATTATTAATATATGTCATATATATATATAGAGCCCGACCGATATGGATTTTGTTGTGGCCGATATGAAACCGATATAATGGGAGTTGGAGCTGCCGATATAATCGCCGATATATTTAGTGATGTAAAAATTCACTGTAAATCTTGAATTGTTTAAAAAACTTAGGTTTGGCTCTGGTGGATTTTAAATTGGGTTTATTTAGGAAACATTTATTGTTATTCTGCCTCTTTACATCATATTTACAGACAGTTGGACTAATGGCATTTTTGCATCACATTCTAGACACTAGTGATGGGGATTCCAGTTTTTTTTTTTTTTTTTTTTAGAGAACCGGCTCTTTTGGCTCGGCTCACTAAAGCAGCTGGCTCTTTCCAAGCGACTCTTGATTGTTTTGTTGCAAGCAGGACTAAACCAGAACTGAACCAGGTCTGAGTGTCGGGACTCGGTCTCTATCTCTCTCCTTCACTCGAGCCCAAGTTTAGTCCTGGTTTATTCATTTTATGCTGAACTGCAGCCAAATATGCACTTTTTTTTTTATCCTATGCACACGCAGATTTCTGAAAGTTTCGTTTTCAGCCGCTGCTGCTGTTAAACTACGGGTCGACATGCGACATGAAGAGAAAAAGAGAAAAAGAGAAAACACGGCTCCCAATAAAAAACATGCTCCTGTTGTTCGCTTCAAAGAGTCGGATCTAAGAGCCGCTTCGATCGCGACCCATAACTCCTAGCTAGTAAATAAACTAGCGCTATTAGCCTTTAGCCGTAAAAACGCTGCGCACGCGGTAATTAATTATATGCATAAATGTGGATCATTCACACGTCTGTTCACAGCTCATTTACATATCAATACTGGTCCAGTAACAAATATACGGACAATATAAACACTTTACAATAGACCAATAGAAAACAGTCTGTTTATGTGCGGGAGCTACAGCAGCTAACCGCTAACAAAACCTAAACTAGCTTCAAAGTCGATGTATTTCCAACACTCACCGCTCACACAGGCTCCTCCCACATCACACAGGCTCCTCCCACATCACACAGGCTCCTCCCACATCACAAATCTGAACTAATAAATGTCCTTTTAATCCAGACTCAAACCGATTGTCCGTAAAAAGAAAATAATCTCAGTGTTGCGCACGGCTGCAGGTGTAAACAAACACACGTGAGTGAAGTGACTCTGTGGTGTGTTCAGGGACAGTACGACGACACACACAGACAAATTACACCGCAATAAATACTGATGTGGAGCCACATATTAGGACATTTATCTGTCTGTAAATTGGATTAAATGAACAGAATGTAGAGAGTCTAAGCTTTATAACGAGGTATAACATGCCCACGTGAAATATCGGCCCATATCAGCAAGCATATCGGCCGATAGCCGATATGTCTCCAGGTGCCCATATTGGCCGATAATATCGGCCAACCGATATATCGGTCGGGCTCTAATATATAATTTGTATATTATTATTATTATTAAAAAGTAGTAGTGATAATGTTTTGAGGTATCGCAGTTTTTGGGGGCTCCGAAAGAACCAGGGACAAACACAGAACTAAACCAGGTCTAAACTAGGACTAAAACAGGTCTAAAACAGGTCTAAACCAAGTGTAAACCAGATCTAAACCAGATCTAAACCAGGTCTAAACCAGGTCTAAACCAGATCTAAACCAGGTCCAAAAAAGGTCTAAAACAGGACTAAACCAGGTCTAAAACAAAGATTAAACCAGGGACAAAAGCAGAACTAACCCAGATCTAAACCAGGTCTAAACAGAGCCTAAACCAAGTCTAATCCAGGACTAAACCAGGACTAAACCAGGTTCTTCATACATTTGCATTGCTCTTTCTGCTATGGTTCATTCTAATGCTCGGCTTATACCTCTGTGTGTGTGTGTGTGTGTGTGTGTGTGTGTGTGTGTGTGTGTGTGTGTGTGTGTGTGTGTGTGTGTGTGTGTGTGTGTGTGTGTGTGTGTCTGTGTGTGTGTGTGTGTGTGTGTGTGTGTGTGTGTGTGTGTGTGTGTGTGTGTCTGTGTGGCGCTGATGCTGAGGGAGAATCCGATGGACCCCGGTTTCCATAGCAACGGGAGGCAGTTTCCACGGCAACCCCATCCTCCCCCTCCCCTCAGCATCACACCCCCTTCTCCTCCTATCACCCTCCTCCCCAAACGCTCGTCATGCCCCGATTTCTCCACACACACACACACACAACACACACTATACACACACTATACACACACACACACACACACACACACACACTATACACACACACTAACACACACACACACACACACACACACACACACACACACACACACACACACACACACACACACACACACACACTATACACACACACACACACACACACACACACACACACTATACACACACACACACACACACACACACACACACTATACACACACACACACACACACACACACACTATACACACACTATACACACACACACACACACACAGGGTCCTGCTTTAGACCTGGTTTAGACCTGGTTTGGTCATAGTTGGTCCTTGTTTAGTCCCTGGTTTAGTCCTGGTTTAGTCCTGGTTTAGTCCTGGTTTAGTCCTGGTTTAGTCCTGGTTTAGTCCTGGAGTCCTGGTTTAGAGTCCTGGTTTAGTCCTGGTTTAGAGTCCTGGTTTAGAGTCCTGGTTTTTAGTCCTGGTTTAGTCCTGGTTTAGTCCTGGTTTAGACCTGGTTTAGTCCTGGTTTGTTTAGTCCTGGTTTAGTCCTGTTTAGTCCTGGTTAGTCCTGGTTCATCCTGGTTCAGTCCTGGTTTAGTCCTGGTTTAGTCCTGGTTTAGTCCTGGTTTTGATTTCCTGGTTTAGGCCTAGGTAATACCTATTTTAGTCACAATCTAGTCTTGGTTTAGTCCTGGTTTGTAGCAGTAGTAGTAGTAGTAGTAGTAGCAGTAGTAGTAGTAGCAGTAGTAGTAGTAGTAGTAGTAGTAGTAGTAGTAGCAGTAGTAGTAGTAGTAGTAGTAGTAGTAGTAGTAGTAGTAGTAGTAGTAGTAGTAGTACTTGTTACCTGAGGCCTGTACTTCAGTGATGTACTGCTGCAGATCGTGTCCTTGTTGGATGACTTCATAAATCATGTTGTTCATGGCCAAACGCCGCTCCATGTGTCTGCAACAAGAAATATATGTATAAGTACAAGTACACAAGTACAAGTACAAGTACAAGTACAAGTACAAGTAGAAGAGATTCCACGGTGAGGGGAGGAGGTGTGACCTGGTTTATGTTTAAAGGTCCCATATTTCACTGTTCCCTGCTCTAATGTCGTTTCCTCCTCACACACGGACCTGGAGCTGTGTTTCATTTGATTCACATGTTTAACACACAAACACTCTGTTCCACCTTGTGATGTCATCATGTGGTGATACAGGAAGTGCTCCACGTGTTTTTAAACTCCACACACCTTCAATAGAATCATTTGGATCGTTTCAGACTTGGACTTTCTTTACCGACCTCAACTGAACTAAAGCGAAAAGGAGCTGTTCACTTGGAAAATACCACTTGATGACATCACAAGGTGGAACAGAGTGTTTGGAGCTTTGGAGATGTAACAGACTCAGAATAAAGAAACAAACAAACACAACTCCAGCTCTGTGTGTGACGAGGAACAGCAGAACATTAGAACCTGACGTGAGTTTGTGTGATCAACTTTCATATCTGCTCTCCTCAGGTGTGCTCAGGTGTGTTCAGGTGTTCTCAGGTGTGTTCAGGTGTGCTCAGGTGTTCTCAGGTGTTCTCAGGTGTGTTCTCAGGTGTTCTCAGGTGTGTTCAGGTGTTCTCAGGTGTGTTCAGGTGTGCTTCAGATGTCCTCAGGTGTTCTCAGGTGTGCTCAGGTGTGTTCAGGTGTGTCTCAGGTGTGTTCTCAGGTGTGCTCAGATGTCTCAGGTGTTCTCAGGTGTTCTCAGGTGTGCTCAGGTGTGCTCAGGTGTTCTCAGGTGTGTTCAGGTGTTCTCAGGTGTTCTCAGGTGTTCTCAGGTGTTCTCAGGTGTGCTCAGGTGTGCTCAGGTGTTCTCAGGTGTGTTCAGGTGTTCTCAGGTGTGTTCAGGTGTGCTCAGGTGTGCTCAGGTGTCAGGTGTGTTCAGGTGTGCTCAGGTGTTCTCTCAGGTGTGTCTCAGTGTGTTCAGGTGTTCTCAGGTGTGTTCAGGTGTTCTCAGGTGTGCTCAGGTGTGTTCTCAGGTGTGCTCAGGTGTGTTCAGGTGTTCTCAGGTGTGTTCAGGTGTTCTCAGGTGTTCTCAGGTGTGTTCAGGTGTGCTCAGGGTGTGCTCAGGGTGTGTGTTCAGGTGTCCTCAGGTGTGCTCAGGTGTTCTCAGGTGTTGCTCAGGTGTTTCAGGTGTGCTCAGGTGTGCTCAGGTGTTCTCAGGTGTGTTCAGGTGTGTTCAGGTGTTCTCAGGTGTTCTCAGGTGTTTCAGGTGTGCTCAGTGTCAGGTGTTCTCAGGTGTGCTCAGGTGTTCTCAGGTGTGTTCAGGTGTGCTCAGGTGTTCTCAGGTGTTCTCAGGTGTGCTCAGGTGTGTTCTCAGGTGTTCTCAGGTGTGCTCAGGTGTGCTCAGGTCAGGTTCTGTGTGCTCAGGTGTGCTCATGTGTGTTCTCAGGTGTTCTCAGGTGTGCTCAGGTGTGCTCAGGTGTGCTCAGGTGTGCTCAGGTGTTCTCAGGTGTCAGGTATCTCAGGTGTTCTCAGGTGTGCTCAGGTGTTCTCAGGTGTGTTCAGGTGTGCTCAGGTGTTCTCAGGTGTGTTCAGGTGTGCTCAGGTGTGTTGCTCAGGTGTTCTCAGGTGTGCTCAGGTGTTCTCAGGTGTGCTCAGGTGTTCTCAGGTGTGCTCAGGTGTTCTCAGGTGTGCTCAGGTGTTCTCAGGTGTGCTCAGGTGTGTGTCTCACCTGTGGATCCTCTGCTGGGCCAGGGTCAGAGCCTCCGGACTGGCCTCGTTCAGCCTGGACCCGCTCAGACCCAGTTTGTCCTGGTTCTGATCCGAGACCCGAGTCTTGTCCGATGAGAAATCCTGAGACTGTTTCTGCAGGTCCTGCTTCCACGCGTCCATCTCACTCATCACCTGAAACACAACAGGTATGAACGGAACGGACTAAACCAGGACTAAAAGAGGACTAAACCAGGACTAAAAGAGGACTAAACCAGGACTAAAAGAGGACTAAACCAGGGTCTAAATACGGGGATAAATCAGGTCTCTACCAGAACTAAACCAGGTCTAAAATGACATTTTACCATGTCTACACCTGTTCAGACTATGTTTTATTTGTAGTATTGGATACCTCGAGTTTGTGTACTGGTTCAGTAGTATTGTGTGTACTTAGTAGCAGTGTTTGCAGTAGTATTCGCAGTAGTATTTGCAGTAGTATTCGCAGTAGTATTTGCAGTAGTATTCGCAGTAGTATTCACAGTAGTATTCACAGTAGTATTCGCAGTAGTATTTGCAGTAGTAGTATTTGCAGTCGTAGTATTTGCAGTAGTATTCACAGTAGTATTCGCAGTAGTATTCACAGTAGTATTCGCAGTAGTCACAGTAGTATTATTTGCAGTAGTAGTATTTGCAGTAGTAGTATTTGCAGTAGTATTTGCAGTAGTAGTATTCACAGTAGTATTCACAGTAGTATTCGCAGTAGTATTTGCAGTAGTAGTATTTGCAGTAGTAGTATTTGCAGTAGTATTCACAGTAGTATTCACAGTAGTATTCGCAGTAGTATTCACAGTAGTATTTGCAGTAGTAGTATTTGCAGTAGTAGTATTCACAGTAGTATTCACAGTAGTATTCACAGTAGTATTTGCAGTAGTATTCGCAGTAGTAGTATTCACAGTAGTATTCACAGTAGTATTCGCAGTAGTATTCGCAGTAGTAGTATTCACAGTAGTATTCGCAGTAGTATTTGCAGTAGTATTCGCAGTAGTATTTGCAGTAGTAGTATTCGCAGTAGTAGTATTCGCAGTACCTCGAGCGTGCACTGGTGCAGGATTCGGAGCTGCAGAAACACGTCGAGTCGGATCTTCTTCTGGTGGAACAGTTCCTCCAGCTGAACATGAGCCTCCTCCAACTGCTGCAGCACCGTCTCCACGTGGACCACAGAGCTGCCCTGAGGTCTGAAACAAACACCCCCCGTGAGGACTCGAACCCACAACCTCATGGACCACAGAGCTGCCCTGAGGTCTGAAACAAACACCCCCCCGTGAGGAACCGAACCCACAACCTCATGGACCACAGAGCTGCCCTGAGGTCTGAAACAAACACCCCCCCGTGAGGACTCGAACCCACAACCTCATGGACCACAGAGCTGCCCTGAGGTCTGAAACAAACACCCCCCCGTGAGGAACCGAACCCACAACCTCATGGACCACAGAGCTGCCCTGAGGTCTGAAACAAACACACCCCCGTGAGGACTCGAACCCACAACCTCATGGACCACAGAGCTGCCCTGAGGTCTGAAACAAACACCCCCCCGTGAGGAATCGAACCCACAACCTCCGTACTGAGAGGAGCCAGAACTAGACTGAACCAGGACTAAATCAGGTCTAAACTAGGACTAAACTGGGACTAAATCAGAACTAAATCAGGACTAAACGGGGACTAAACCAGGATGAAATCAGGGACTAAATCAAGACTAAATTAGAACTAAATCAGGGACTAAACCAGGTCTGAACCAGTCACATAGGGAGCTCATGCACACTCAGATCGGGAGTGGAACCCGCCGCCTGCTGGTGAGGGGGAGGAGTCTCGTACCTGAGCTGTAGAATCAGGTCCTCTCCTTCTCGGATCACACTCATGGCGGCCTCCTGCGAGAGCCAGGGTTAGAGCTTCAGTTAGTCCGGGTTAGAAACACTCAGGCTAAAGTTAGTCTGGGTTAGAAACACTCAGGATTAAGTTAGTCTGGGTTAGACACACTCAGGCTAAAGTTAGTCTGGGTTAGAAACACTCAGGTTTAAATTAGTCTGGGTTAGACACACTCAGGGTTAAGTTAGTCTGGGTTAGACACACTCAGGTTTTAAGTTAGTCTGGGTTAGACACACTCAGGCTTAAGTTAGTCTGGGTTTAGAAACACTCAGGCTAAAGTTAGTCTGGTTAGAAACACTCAGGCTAAAGTTAGTCTGGGTTAGAAACACTCAGGCTTAAGTTAGTCTGGGTTAGAAAACACTCAGGATTAAGTTAGTTCTTGGTTAGAAACACTCAGGGTTAAGTTAGTCTGGGTTAGAAACACTCAGGCTAAAGTTAGTCTGGGTTAGAAATACTCAGGGCTTAAGTAGTCTGGGTTAGAAAAACTCAGGATTAAGTTAGTCTTGGTTAGAAACACTCAGGATTAAGTTAGTCTGGGTTAGAAACACTCAGGCTAAAGTTAGTCTGGGTTAGAAACACTCAGGCTAAAGTTAGTCTGGGTTAGACACACTCAGGCTAAAGTTAGTCTGGGTTAGACACACTCAGGCTAAAGTTAGTCTGGGTTAGAAACACTCAGGCTAAAGTTAGTCTGGGTTAGAAACACTCAGGTTTAAATTAGTCTGGGTAAGAAACACTCAGGCTAAAGTTAGTCTGGGTTAGAAACACTCAGGTTTAAATTAGTCTGGGTTAGACACACTCAGGATTAAGTTAGTCTGGGTTAGAAACACTCAGGCTAAAGTTAGTCTGGGTTAGAAACACTCAGGATTAAGTTAGTCTGGGTTAGAAACACTCAGGCTAAAGTTAGTCTGGGTTAGAAACACTCAGGCTAAAGTTAGTCTGGGTTAGACACACTCAGGTTTAAGTTAGTCTGGTTAGACACACTCAGGTTTAAGTTAGTCCGGGTTAGAAACACTCAGGCTTAAGTTAGTCTGGGTTAGAAACACTCAGGATTAAGTTAGTCTTGGTTAAGAAACACTCAGGCTAAAGTTAGTCTGGCGTTAGAAACACTCAGGCTAAAGTTAGTCTGGGTTAGAAACACTCAGGCTAAAGTTAGTCTGGGTTAGAAACACTCAGGCTAAAGTTAGTCTGGTTAGAAACACTCAGGATTAAGTTAGTCTTGGTTAGAAACACTCAGGGTTAAGTTAGTCTGGGTTAGAAACACTCAGGCTAAAAGTTAGTCTGGGTTAGAACACTCAGGCTAAAGTTAGTCTGGGTTAAACACACTCAGGGTTAAGTTAGTCTGGGTTAGACACACTCAGGATTAAGTTAGTCTGGGTTAGACACACTCAGGATTAAGTTAGTCTTGGTTAGAAACACTCAGGGTTAAGTTAGTCTGGGTTAGAAACACTCAGGCTAAAGTTAGTCTGGGTAAGAAACACTCAGGATTAAGTTAGTCCGGGTTAGACACACTCAGGCTAAAGTTAGTCTGGGTTAGGGGTTATTATGAGCTTTAATACATTTAAAACGACCTAATTAAATAAATAAATAATGTATGAAATCAAAACTAAGATGAGTTTGTGTCACAATATTAATGTTACAGTGATAATGATGTAATCAACAATATAACGAAGGATTTTATAATATTAGTATTTATTTAGTGGCTGATTTAGTGGTGTATTTTTCCCATAGTTTTGTCTGTAGCCTGTGTTGTGGTGTTGTTCTGCTGTTGCTGCTGTTGGTATAGAACTATATATTTTTCTCTTTTTCTTGTCTGTTCATGTGTTGTTCTTTTTTTACCTGTGTGTTGTTCTGCTGTTGTTATATATTTTTCTCTTTTCTTGTCTGTTCATGTGTTGTTCTGTGTGTTGTCCTGCTGTTGTTATATTATTTTTCCCTTTTCTTGTCTGTTCATGTGTTGTTCTGTTACCTGTGTGTTGTCCTGCTGTTGTTATATATTTTCCCTTTTTCTTGTCTGTTCATGTGTTGTTCTGTTACCTGTGTGTTGTTCTGCTGTGTTTATATATTTTTCCCTTTTTCTTGTCTGTTCATTGTTGTTCTTTTTTTACCTGTGTGTTGTCCTGCTGTTGTTATATATTTTTCCCTTTTTCTTGTCTGCACATGTGATTGTGTTGTTCTGTCACCTGTGTGTTGTCCTGCTGTTGCTGTTGTTATATATTTTTCTCTTTTTCTTGTCTGTTCATGTGTTGTTCTTTTTTTACCTGTGTGTTGTCCTGCTGTTGTTATATATTTTTCTCTTTTTCTTGTCTGTTCATGTGTTGTTCTTTTTTTTACCTGTGTGTTGTCCTGCTGTTGTTATATATTTTTTTTTTCCCTTTTTCTTGTCTGTTCATGTGTTGTTCTTTTTTTACCTTATGTGTGTTGTTTGTTCTGCTGTTGTTATATATTTTTCCCTTTTTCTTGTCTGTTCATGTGTTGTTCTTTTTTTACCTGTGTGTTGTCCTGCTGTTGTTATATATTTTTCCCTTTTTCTTGTCTGTTCATGTGTTGTTCTTTTTTTACCTGTGTGTTGTTCTGCTGTTGTTATATATTTTTCTCTTTTTCTTGTCTGTTCATGTGTTGTTCTTTTTTTACCTGTGTGTTGTTCTGCTGTTGTTATATATTTTTCCCTTTTTTCTTGTCTGTTCATGTGTTGTTCTGTACCTGTGTGTTGTTCTGCTGTTGTTATATATTTTTCCCTTTTTCTTGTCTGTTCATGTGTTGTTCTTTTTTTACCTGTGTGTTGTTCCTGCTGTTGTTATATATTTTTCCTCTTTTTCTGTCTGTTCATGTGTTGTTCTTTTTTTACCTGTGTGTTGTCCTGCTGTTGTTATATATTTTTCTCTTTTTCTTGTCTGTTCATGTGTTGTTCTGTTACCTGTGTGTTGTTCTGCTGTTGTATATATTTTCCCTTTTTCTTGTCTGTTCATGTGTTGTTCTTTTTTTTACCTGTGTGTTGTCCTGCTGTTATATATTTTCCCTTTTTCTTGTCTGTTCATTGTGTTGTTCTTTTTTTACCTGTGTGTGTTCTGCTGTTGTTATATATTTTTCCCTTTTTCTTGTCTGTTCATGTGTTGTTTTTTTTACCTGTGTGTTGTTCTGCTGTTGTTATATATTTTTCCCTTTTTCTTGTCTGTTCATGTGTTTGTTCTGTCACCTGTGTGTTGTTCTGCTGTTGTTATATATTTTTTCCCTTTTTCTTGTCTGTTCATGTGTTGTTCTTTTTTACCTGTGTGTTGATCTGCTGTTGTTATATATTTTTCTCTTTTTCTTGTCTGTTCATGTGTTGTCTTTTTTTACCTGTGTGTTGTCCTGCTGTTGTTATATATTTTTCCCTTTTTCTTGTCTGTTCATGTGTTGTTCTTTTTTTACCTGTGTGTTGTTCTGTTGTTGTTATATATTTTTCTCTTTTTCTTGTCTGTTCATGTGTTGTTCTGTCACCTGTGTGTTGTTCTGTTGTTGTTATATATTTTTCCCTTTTTCTTGTCTGTTCATGTGTTGTTCTGTTACCTGTGTGTTGTTCTGTTGTTGTTATATATTTTTCCCTTTTTCTTGTCTGTTCATGTGTTGTTCTGTTCACCTGTGTGTTGTTCTGTTTGTTGTTATAATTTTCTCTTTTTCTTGTCTGTTCATGTGTTGTTCTGTCACCTGTGTGTTCGCCTGCTGCTGCTGCTGTTGGCTGATCAGAGCCTGTAGAGCCTCGACCGTCTCCGGACACGGACAGAGTTCAGACGAGAGCTGCTTCTGCAGGCCCTCCATCCACACGGACAACTGCAACAACACAACACACACTTAACTACACACAACTGCAACAACACAACACACACGTAACTACACACAACTGAAACAACACAACACACACGTAACTACACACAACTGCAACAACACAACACACACGTAACTACACACAACTGCAACAACACAACACACACGTAACTACACACAACTGCACACAACACAACACACACGTAACTAACTACACGCACAACTGAACAACAACACAAACACACACTTAACTACACACAACTGCAACAACACAACACACACGTAACTACACACAACTGCAACAACACAACACACACGTAACTACACACAACTGCAACAACACAACACACACTTAACTACACACAACTGAACAACACAACACACACGTAACTACACACAACTGCAACAACACAACACACACTTAACTACACACAACTGCAACAACACAACACACACGTAACTACACACAACTGCAACAACACAACACACACTACACACAACTGTTACACAACTACACACAACACACACGTAACTACACACAACTGCAACAACACAACACACACGTAACTACACAACTGCAACAACACAACACACACGTAACTACACACAACTGAACAACACAACACACACTACACACACGTAACTACACACAACTGCAACAACACAAACACACACGTAACTACACACAACTGAACAAACACACAACACACACAGTAACTACACACAACTGCAACAACACAACAACACACAACACACAACTACACACACAACTACACACAACTGACACACACACAACAACAACACAACACACACTAACTACACACAACTGCAACAACACAACACACACTTATCACAACTACACACAACTGCAACAACTGCACAACACACACGTAACTACACACAACTGCAACAACACAACACACACTTAACTACACAACTGCAACACACACAACAACACACAACACACACGTAACTACACACAACTGACAACAACAACAACAACACAACACACACTTAACTACACANTATTTGCAGTAGTAGTATTCGCAGTAGTATTTGCAGTAGTATAGTAGTATTCTGCAGTAGTAGTAGTTTCTGCAGTAGTAGTATTTGCAGTAGTAGTATTTGCAGTAGTAGTATTTTGCAGTAGTATTTGCAGTAGTATTTGCAGTAGTAGTAGTAGTAGTAGTAGTATTATTTGCAGTAGTATTTGCAGTAGTATTGCAGTAGTAGTATTTGTAGTAGTTAGCAGTAGTAGCAGTAGTAGTAGTAGTATTGTAGTAGCAGTAGTAGTTTGCAGTAGTAGTATTAGTAGTAGCAGTAGTAGTATTTGCAGTAGTAGTATTTAGCAGTAGTAGTATTAGCAGTAGTAGTAGTAGTGCAGTAGTAGTATTTGCAGTAGTAGTATTTGCAGTAGTATTGCAGTAGTATTTTGCAGTAGTAGTAGTAGTATTTGCAGTAGTAGTAGTAGTTTGCAGTAGTAGTATTATGCAGTAGTAGTATTTGCAGTAGTAGTATTTGCAGTAGTATTGTAGTGCAGTAGTAGTATTTGCAGTAGTAGTATTTGCGCAGTAGTATTGCAGTAGTAGCGTTGTGCCACTGGTGCAGGGACTGGTGCAGGATCCGGAGCTGCAGAAACACGTCGAGTCGGATCTTCTTCTGGTGGAACAGTTCCTCCAGCTGAACATGAGCCTCCTCCAACTGCTGCAGCACCGTCTCCACGTGGACCACAGAGCTGCCCTGAGGTCTGAAACAAACACCCCCCGTGAGGAACCGAACCCACAACCTCATGGACCACAGAGCTGCCCTGAGGTCTGAAACAAACACACCCCCGTGAGGAACCGAACCCACAACCTCATGGACCACAGAGCTGCCCTGAGGTCTGAAACAAACACCCCCCGTGAGGAACCGAACCCACAACCTCATGGACCACAGAGCTGCCCTGAGGTCTGAAAACAAACACCCCCCCGTGAGGAACCGAGGAACCCCCCACAACCTCATGGACCACAGAGCTGCCCTGGGTCTGAAACAACACCCCGTGAGGAACGAAACCCACAACTCATGGACCACAGAGCTGCCCTGAGGTCTGAAACAAACACACCCCCGTGAGGAACCGAACCCACAACCTCATGGACCACAGAGCTGCCCTGAGGTCTGAAACAAACACCCCCCGTGAGGAAACCGAACCCACAACCTCATGGACCACAGAGCTGCCCTGAGGTCTGAAACAAACACCCCCCCGTGAGGAACCGAACCCACAACCTCATGGACCACAAGAGCTGCCCTGAGGTCTGAAACAAACACCCCCCGTGAGGAACCGAACCCACAACCTCATGGACCACAGAGCTGCCTGAGGTCTGAAACAAACACACCCCCGTGAGAGGAACCGAACCCACAACCTCATGGACCACAGAGCTGCCCTGAGGTCTGAAACAAACACCCCCCGTGAGGAACCGAACCCACAACCTCATGGACCACAGAGCTGCCCTGAGGTCTGAAACAAACACACCCCCGTGAGGAACCGAACCCACAACCTCATGGACCACAGAGCTGCCCTGAGGTCTGAAACAAACACACCCCCGTGAGGAACCGAACCCACAACCTCATGGACCACAGAGCTGCCCTGAGGTCTGAAACAAACACCCCCCCGTGAGGAACCGAACCCACAACCTCATGGACCACAGAGCTGCCCTGAGGTCTGAAACAAACAACACCCCCCTGAGGAAACCGAACCCCACAACCTCATGGACCACAGAGCTGCCTGAGGCTGAACAACACCCCCCGTGAGGACCGAACCCACAACCTCATGGACCACAGAGCTGCCCTGAGGTCTGAAACAAACACCCCCCCGTGAGGAATCGAACCCACAACCTCATGGACCACAGAGCTGCCCTGAGGTCTGAAACAAACACCCCCCCGTGAGGAATCGAACCCACAACCTCCGTACTGAGAGGAGCCAGAACTAGACTGAACCAGGACTAAATCAGGTCTAAACTAGGACTAAACTGGGACTAAATGAGAACTAAATCAGGACTAAACGGGGACTAAACCAGGATGAAATCAGGGACTAAATCAAGACTAAATTAGAACTAAATCAGGGACTAAACCAGGTCTGAACCAGTCACATATGGAGCTCATGCACACTCAGATCGGGAGTGGAACCCGCCGCCTGCTGGTGAGGGGGAGGAGTCTCGTACCTGAGCTGTAGAATCAGGTCCTCTCCTTCTCGGATCACACTCATGGCGGCCTCCTGCGAGAGCCAGGGTTAGAGCTTCAGTTAGTCCGGGTTAGACACACTCAGGCTAAAGTTAGTCTGGGTTAGAAACACTCAGGCTAAAGTTAGTCTGGGTTAGAAACACTCAGGCTAAAGTTAGTCTGGGTTAGAAACACTCAGGCTAAAGTTAGTCTGGGTTAGAAACACTCAGGCTAAAGTTAGTCTGGGTAAGAAACACTCAGGCTAAAGTTAGTCTGGGTTAGGGGTTATTATGAGCTTTAATACATTTAAAACGACCTAATTAAATAAATAAATAATGTATGAAATCAAAACTAAGATGAGTTTGTGTCACAATATTAATGTTACAGTGATAATGATGTAATCAACAATATAACGAAGGATTTTATAATATTAGTATTTATTTAGTGGCTGATTTAGTGGTGTATTTTTCCCATAGTTTTGTCTGTAGCCTGTGTTGTGGTGTTGTTCTGCTGTTGCTGCTGTTGGTATAGAACTATATATTTTTCCCTTTTTCTTGTCTGTTCATGTGTTGTTCTTTTTTTTTTTACCTGTGTGTTGTCCTGCTGTTGTTATATATTTTTCCCTTTTTCTTGTCTGTTCATGTGTTGTTCTGTTACCTGTGTGTTGTTCTGCTGTTGTTATATATTTTTCCCTTTTTCTTGTCTGTTCATGTGTTGTTCTGTTACCTGTGTGTTGTCCTGCTGTTGTTATATATTTTTCCCTTTTTCTTGTCTGTTCATGTGTTGTTCTTTTTTTACCTGTGTGTTGTTCTGCTGTTGTTATATATTTTTCCCTTTTTCTTGTCTGTTCATGTGTTGTTCTGTCACCTGTGTGTTGTTCTGTTGTTGTTATATATTTTTCTCTTTTTCTTGTCTGTTCGTGTGTTGTTCTGTCACCTGTGTGTTCGCCTGCTGCTGCTGCTGTTGGCTGATCAGAGCCTGTAGAGCCTCGACCGTCTCCGGACACGGACAGAGTTCAGACGAGAGCTGCTTCTGCAGGCCCTCCATCCACACGGACAACTGCAACAACACAACACACACGACACAAACTGACAACACAACACGACACGTAACTACACAAACAACATGCAACAACACTAACACACACGTAACAACAACACACAACAACAACACAACACACACGTAACTACACACAACAACACACTAACTACACACAACTGCAACACACAACACACACGTAACTACACAACAACTGCAACAACACACACAACACACAAACACACGTAACTAACAACAACAACACAACACACACTTAACACACACAACTGCAACACACAACAACACGTAACTACACACAACTGCAACAAACAACACACCACAACACACAACTGCAACAACACAACACACACGTAACTACACACAACTGCAACAACACAACACAAACACACAACAACCACAACAACACTTAACTACACACACTGCAAACAACACAACACACACTAACTACAACAACTGCAACAACACAACACACACTAACTACACAACTGCAACAACACAACACACACTTAACAACACAACAACGCAACAACACAACACACACGTAACTACACACACGCAAACAACACAAACACACTAACTACACACAACTGCAACAACACAAACACACACACAACTACACAACACAACACACACACACACTTGCAACAAAACACACACAACACACACAACTGCAACAACACACTACACGTAACTACACACAACACAACAACACAAACACACACTTAAACCACAACTACAACACAACACACACGTAACTACACACAACTGCAACAACACAACACACACTTAACACACACAACTGCAACAACACAACACACACACACAGCAACAAACTACACACAAACTGCAACAACACAACACAGTAACTACACACAACTGCAACAACACACACACTACCAACACAACTGAACAACACAACACACACTTAACACACACAACTGCAACAACACAACACACACACGTACAACACACACAACACACACAACTGCACAAACAACACAACACAACACTTAACACACACACTGAAACAAACAACAACAACACACACTTAACTACACACATGCAACAACACAACACACACGTAACTACACACAACTGCAACAACACAACACACACGTAACTACACACAACGCAACACACACACACACACACACGTAACTACACACACTGCAACAACACAACAACACACTACACACAACACAACGCACACACAACAACAACACACACGTAACTACACACAAACTGCAACAACACAACACACACGTAACTACACACAACTGCAACAACACAACACACACTTAACACACACAACTGCAACACAAACACACACACACAACACAACCAACATGCAACAACACACACACACAACTACACACAACAACATGAACAACACAACACTTAACTACACACAACCTGCAACAACACAACACACACGTAACTACACACAACTGCAAAACACAACACACACGTACTAACAACTAACACACAACACAACAACACAACAACAACACCTAACTACACACAACTGCAACAACACAACACACACGTAACTACACACAACTGCAACAACACAACACACACTGCAACAACACAACACTACACGTAACTACACACAACTGCAACAAACACAAACACACACGCAAACAACACAAACACTACACACAAACTGCAACAACAACACAACACACACGAAACTACACACAAACTGCAAACAACACAACAAACACACGTTAACTACACACAACTGCAACAACACAACACACACTTAACTACACACAACTGCAACAACACAACACACACGTAACTACACACAACTGCAACAACACAACACACACTTAACTACACACAACTGCAACAACACAACACACACTTAACTACACACAACTGCAACAACACAACAAACACACACATTTAACTACACACAACTGCAACAACACAACACACACTTAACTACACACAACTGCAACAACACAACACACACTAACTACAACAACAACTGAACAACACAACAAACACTTAACTACACACAACTGCAACAACACAACACACACTTAACTACACACAACTGCAACAAACACACAAACACTAACTAACACACAACTGCAAACAACCACAACACACACTTAACTTACACTACACACAACATGCAACAAAACACAAACACACACTTAACTACACACAACTGAACAACACAACACACACTTAACTACACACAACTGCAACAACACAACAAACACGTAACTACACACAACTGCAACAACACAACAAACACTTAACTACACACAACTGCAACAACACAACAAACACGTAACTACACACAACTGCAACAACACAACAAACACTTAACTACACACAACTGCAACAACACAACAAACATTTAACTACACACAACTGAACAACACAACACACACTTAACTACACACAACTGCAACAACACAACAAACACTTAACTACACACAACTGCAACAACACAACAAACACTTAACTACACACAACTGCAACACACAACAACAAACACATTTAAACTACACACAACTGCAACAACACAACA